AGACCAATCAAGTCAATACATACATTAGACAGAGACCAGTCAAATCAATACATTTATAAGCAAGAATGACTGATGGTTTGACACTTACCTGACGCAGTGGGCGGCTGTGAGGATGTGCCACTCGTCCAGGATAGAACCGCCACACACCTGCCCGTTGTTAATGCTTAGTTTAACCAGCCACGGATAGGTGGTGCAGGTGGCGGTGATGCGACCACCAACAATACGTGGACTGATGAACAGGCTAGAGCTGCTGACTGCTGCTGATCTGGTGGCGATGTTGCTGATGCCGCACTGTGCTGATGGGGGGGGGTGGGGGTATAAGACAGGTGTAATGTGAGTATACCAACTAGGACGTATATTGAGAGTCGAACAGGCGAGACTGGTGTACTGTGAGTGGAACAGGTAAGACTGGTGTACTGTGAGTGGAACAGGTAAGACTGGTGTACTGTGAGTGGAACAGGTAAGACTGGTGTACTGTGAGTGGAACAGGTGAGACTGGTGTACTGTGAGTGGAACAGGTAAGACTGGTGTACTGTGAGTGGAACAGGTGAGACTGGTGTACTGTGAGTGGAACAGGTGAGACTGGTGTACTGTGAGTGGAACAGGTAAGACTGGTGTACTGTGAGTGGAACAGGTAAGACTGGTGTACTGTAAGCGGAACAGGTAAGACTGGTGTACTGTGAGTGGAACAGGTGAGACTGGTGTACTGTGAGTGGAACAGGTGAGACTGGTGTACTGTGAGTGGAACAGGTAAGACTGGTGTACTGTGAGTGGAACAGGTGAGACTGGTGTACTGTGAGTGGAACAGGTAAGACTGGTGTACTGTGAGTGGAACAGGTGAGACTGGTGTACTGTGAGTGGAACAGGCGAGACTGGTGTACTGTGAGTGGAACAGGTAAGACTGGTGTACTGTGAGTGGAACAGGTGAGACTGGTGTACTGTGAGTGCAACAGGTAAGACTGGTGTACTGTGAGTGGAACAGGTAAGACTGGTGTACTGTGAGTGGAACTGGTAAGACTGGTGTACTGTGAGTGAAATAAGTAAGACTGGTGTACTGTGAGTGAAGCAAGTAATACTGGTGAACTGTGAGTGGAACAAGTAAGACTGGTGTACTGTGAGTGGAACAGGTAAGACTGGTGTACTGTGAGTGGAACCGGTAAAACTGGTGTACTATGAGTGGAACAGGTAAAACTGGTGTACTATGAGTGGAACAGGTTAAATTTGTGAACTGTGGATGGGAGAGATGAGACTTGTCAACTGTGAATGGGAGAGATGAGATTTGTCAACTGTGAATGGGAGAGATGAGACCTGTCAACTGTGAATGGGAGAGATGAGACTTGTCAACTCTGAATGGGAGAGATGAGACTTGTCAACTGTGAATGGGAGAGATGAGACTTGTCAACTGTGAATGGGAGAGATGAGACTTGTCAACTCTGAATGGGACAGATGAGACTTGTCAACTGTGAATGTGAGAGATGAGACTTGTCAGCTGTGAATGGGAGAGATGAGACTTGTCAACTGTGAATGGGAGAGATGAGACTTATCAACTGTGAATGGGAGAGATGAGACTTGTCAACTGTGAATGGGAGAGATGACACTTGTCAACTGTGAATGGGAGAGATGAGACTTGTCAACTCTGAATGGGAGAGATGAGACTTGTCAACTCTGAATGGGAGAGATGAGACTTGTCAGCTGTGAATGGGAGAGATGAGACTTGTCAACTCTGAATGGGAGAGATGAGACTTGTCAACTCTGAATGGGAGAGATGAGACTTGTCAGCTGTGAATGTGAGAGATGAGACTTGTCAACTCTGAATGGGAGAGATAAGACTTGTCAACTGTGAATGTGAGAGATGAGACTTGTCAACTCTGAATGGGAGAGATGACACTTGTCAACTGTGAATGGGAGAGATGACACTTATCAACTCTGAATGGGAGAGATGAGACTTGTCAACTGTGAATGGGAGAGATGAGACTTGTCAACTGTGATAGAAGAGATGAGACTTGTCAACTGTGAATGGGAGAGATGAGACCTGTTAACTGTGAATGAGAGAGATGAGACTTGTCAACTGTGAACTGGAGAGATGAGACTTGTCAACTGTGAATGGGAGATATGAGACTTGTCAACTGTGAATGGGAGATATGAGACTTGTCAACTCTGAATGGGAGAGATAAGACTTGTCAACTGTGAATGTGAGAGATGAGACTTGTCAACTCTGAATGGGAGAGATGACACTTGTCAACTGTGAATGGGAGAGATGACACTTATCAACTCTGAATGGGAGAGATGAGACTTGTCAACTGTGAATGGGAGAGATGAGACTTGTCAACTGTGAATAGAAGAGATGAGACTTGTCAACTGTGAATGGGAGAGATGAGACCTGTTAACTGTGAATGAGAGAGATGAGACTTGTCAACTGTGAACTGGAGAGATGAGACTTGTCAACTGTGAATGGGAGATATGAGACTTGTCAACTGTGAATGGGAGATATGAGACTTGTCAACTGTGAATAGAAGAGATGAGACTTGTCAACTGTGAATGGGAGATATGAGACTTGTCAACTGTGAATGGGAGATATGAGACTTGTCAACTGTGAATAGAAGAGATGAGACTTGTCAACTGTGAATGGGAGAGATGAGACCTGTCAACTGTGAATGAGAGAGATGAGACTTGTCAACTGTGAATGGGAGAGATGAGACTTGTCAACTGTGAATAGAAGAGATGAGACTTGTCAGCTGTGAATGGGAGAGATGAGACCTGTTAACTGTGAATGAGAGAGATGAGACTTGTCAACTGTGAACTGGAGAGATGAGACTTGTCAACTGTGAATGGGAGATATGAGACTTGTCAACTGTGAATAGAAGAGATGAGACTTGTCAACTGTGAATGGGAGAGATGAGACTTGTCAACTGTGAATGGGAGAGATGAGACTTGTCAACTGTGAATGTCTTGTAAAAGGAAGAAGAAACAGATGCTGTTGTCGGCGGGCTGTCCTGTTGCCAGTGTGCTGTCCTGTTGTCAGCGTGCTGTCCTGTTGTCAGCGGGCTGTCCTGTTGTCAGCGGGCTGTCCTGTTGCCAGTGTGCTGTCCTGTTGTCAGCGTGCTGTCCTGTTGTCATTGGGCTGTCCTGTTGTCAGCGGGCTGTCCTGTTGCCAGCGGGCTGTCCTGTTGCCAGCGGGATGTCCTGTTGCCAGCGGGCTGTCCTGTTGTCAGCGGGCTGTCCTGTTGTCAGCATGCTGTCCTGTTGCCGGCGGGCTGTCCTGTTGTCAGCGGGCTGTCCTGTTGCCAGTGGGTTGTCCTGTGGTGGCGATTCTCTCCTGTGTCAACATTGGTTTGGTTCCAGGTCCCGGCACAGACTGAGGCATTTTTTCAGACCAGTAGGCTTCTTGGGCTCCAGTTTACGTCTTTAAAAACGTGTACAGGCCACTTTCGGACCGGTCTTGTGAGGAAACATGATCATGAAGTTGTCTAGAGAATGTGAAGACCTAGCATCGTACCCAGTGGCATCTGATTCTACGGGGCCACTTTTCCATGCAAACAAAAATACACTCTGTCAGTGACCACTCATAGAGCTTTGTGTGTATGTGTGCGCGCATGTGTGCGTGTTTTTGTGTGTGTGTGTGTGTGTGTGTGTGTGTGGATATGGCCACTCATTCTCTCCCTTCATTACCATTCCCTTCCCTATTTTCTCCTGCTCTCAACGCGGCCTATTGAACTTTGTACACATAAATCTACATCAATACTTGTATCATTCATGTCCCGGTTTCACACCTCTTTATATCGTAGTAAAGGCCGATATCGACATCTTCTACCCATCTCTAATTCACCACAGAGGGTGTCCTTGTGGATTCTACCATCCTGTGTTCTCCAAGTATGACCGAACCATCTGAGCCTTCGGAGACCAAGAACTGAGAAAATGGTTGTGATACTTGCTCTTCCCTTCACTCCAGTCACAGGTCAGAGAATGCATAAGGTAACAGCTGGCATTCGAACGGGCCGCCAATCGTATTTAAGTGGTTGTTTGTTTGACAGAATCCTGTAATTGTTTTACTTTACCGTGCGTGTTACCATTGTTGTTTGTGTATGTGTACAGCTTACCTGGTATTGCAGTTGTTTCTTCAGTTGTTGGAAACACTGTTGTTGTTGTTGTTGTTGGTTGACTGGTAGTTGTTGTGGGTGTTGTTGAAGTTGGCTGACTGGTAGTTGTTGTGGGTGTTGTTGTTGTTGGCTGACTGGTAGTTGTTGTGGGTGTTGTTGTTGGCTGACTAGTAGTTGTTGTGGGTGTTGTTGAAGTTGGCTGACTGGTAATTGTTGAGGGTGTTGTTGTTGTTGGCTGACTAGTAGTTGTTGTGGGTGTTGTTGTTGTTGGCTGACTAGTAGTTGTTGTGGGTGTTGTTGTTGTTGGCTGACTAGAAGTTGTTGTGGGTGTTGTTGTTGTTGGCTGACTAGTAGTTGTTGTGGGTGTTGTTGAAGTTGGCTGACTGGTAGTTGTTGAGGGTGTTGTTGTTGTTGGCTGACTAGTAGTTGTTGTGGGTGTTGTTGTTGTTGGCTGACTAGTAGTTGTTGTGGGTGTTGTTGTTGTTGGCTGACTGGTAGTTGTTGTGGGTGTTGTTGTTGTTGGCTGACTAGTAGTTGTCGTGGGTGTTGTTGAAGTTGGCTGACGGGTAGTTGTTGCTGTTGTATTTGTTGGTGTAGTTGTTGGTATCGTTGTTGCTGCTGGTGTCGTGGTTATCCTTGATGTAGTAGATGCTGTTGACGCCACTGTAGTTGTTGTTGTGGTGGTGGATGTTGTAGGTTGCAGTGGACTGCCGCAGACGGAGCACTGCAGGTAGTTGTAGATCTGGCTGCAGGTCGGTAACAAATTGTACGCAATTGTTAGTAGTAATATTAGAGGTTTACATAGTTGAAGCCATATATTTACAACGTCTTGGCTGAACTAACTTACATCACCCTGTCTACATGGAAGTTACAACATCATATCTGCATGTAAGTTACACAATCATGGCTACATGTGACAACATCCTGGCTACATGTGACAACATCCTGGCTACATGTGACAACATCCTGGCTACATGTGACAACATCTTGGCTACATGTGACAACATCTTGGCTACATGTGACAACATATTGGCTACATGTGACAACATCTTGGCTACATGTGACAACATCCTGGCTACATGTGACAACATCCTGGCTACACGTGACAACATATTGGCTACATGTGACAACATCCTGGCTACATGTGACAACATCTTGGCTACATGTGACAACATCCTGGCTACATGTGACAACATCTTGGCTACATGTGACAACATCTTGGCTACATGTGACAACATCTTGGCTACATGTGGCAACATCTTGGCTACACGTTACAACATCTTGACTACTTGTGACAACATCTTGGCTACATGTGACAACATCCTGGCTACTTGTGACAACCTCCTGGCTACTTGTGACAACATCCTGGCTACATGTGACAACATCCTGGCTACATGTGACAACATCCTGACTACATGTGACAACATCCTGGCTACATGTGACAACATCCTGACTATATTTAACTTACAGCAGCCTAGCTACACAGAACTAAATTCTTAGCTAAATGTAAATTACAATATCTCAGCTACATGTAAATTACAACACATTGGCTACATGTAAATCAAACATCTTGAATACACAGTTTATGTACACCAATACAACACATTCGCTAGACGTAAATGAAAGATCTTGAATACACAGTTTCTGTACATCAACACAACACCTTGGCTACATGTAAATGAAACATATTGAATACAAAGTTTCTGTACATCAATTGCATTCATTGGATTGACACCATATGCCAAATATGCCTCAAGATGGGGTCATTCATTTAACCCACTTACGTATGGGTCCTTCACTTGACCCACTTACATATTTGTCCTTCACTTGACCCACTTAACATATTTGTCCTTCACTTGACCCACTTAACACATTTGTCCCTCACTTGACCCGCTTACACATGGATCTTTCACTTGAACCACTTATACATGGGTCCTTTAACTGACCCACTTGCACGTGGGTCCTTCACTTGCATCACTTACGTATGGGTCTTTCACTTGACTAATTTACAAATGGGTCTTTCACTTTACCTATTTACACAAGGGTCCTTTACTTGACCTACTTAATCATGGGTCCTTTACTTGACCCACTTACAAATGGGTCCTTGAGCTGACCCTCTCACATATGGATCCTTAATTTGACCGCCAATGGTAGCGCGAAGGGAGGACTAATGGGTTGATCAAGCAGTCTACAGCAACTGGTGACCCAATGACACATAGTGTTACGGGTTGATGATGACCCAATGACACATAGTGTTACGGGTTGATGATGACCCAATGACACATAGTGTTACGGGTTGATGGTGACCCAATGACACTCAGTGTTACGGGATGATGGTGACCCAATGACACTCAGTGTTACGGGATTATGGTGACCCAATGACACTCAGTGTTACGGGTTGATGGTGACCCAATGACACATAGTGTTACGGGATTATGGTGACCCAATGACACTCAGTGTTACGGGATTATGGTGACCCAATGACACTCAGTGTTACGGGATTATGGTGACCCAATGACACATAGTGTTACGGGTTGATGGTGACCCAATGACACTCAGTGTTACGGGTTGATGGTGACCCAATGACACATAGTGTTACGGGATTATGGTGACCCAATGACACTCAGTGTTACGGGATGATGGTGACCCAATGACACTCAGTGTTACGGGTTGATGGTGACCCAATAACACTCAGTGTTACGGGATTATGGTGACCCAATGACACATAGTGTTACGGGTTGATGGTGACCCAATGACACTCAGTGTTACGGGATTATGGTGACCCAATGACACTCAGTGTTACGGGTTGATGGTGACGACATGAATTTATAAAATATCTATCTACTACTAAAGTCAAGTGAGAATTGTGGAGATGTCCTGACAACGTCCTGACAAAGCAATTATCAAACTGACATATACCAAAGGTTAGACTATGACGTTGCCACCCTTCAAGTGCTAGTCGAGTCCCAAGTCATTACCGCCAAGTCCCAAGTCATTGCCACCAAGTCCCAAATCATTGCCACCAAGTTTCATGTCATTACCACCAAGCCCCAAATCATTAACACCAAACCCCAAATTATTGTAGCCAACCCCCAAATTATTGCCGCTAAGCCTTAAATCATTGCCACCAAACCCAAATTATTGTCATGAAACCCTAAATCATTGCCACCAAGCCCCAAATTAGTGTCACCAAGCCCCAAATTATTGCCACTAAGCCCCAAATCATTGCTACCAAGCCCCAAATTATTGCCACCAAGCCCCAAATCATTGCCACCATACCCCAAATTATTGCCACTAAGCCCCAAATCATTGCCACCAAGCCCCAAATCATTGCTACCAAGCCCCAAATCATTACCACCAAGTCCCAAATAATTGCCACCAAGCCCCAAATCGTTGCACCAAGTCCCAAATCATTGCCACCAAGCCCCAAATCATTGCCACTGTAATGTTGTGAATTCCCGGGGAAACCCCAGAGAGTTCCCGATGGGGAGAAAAAGGTCGGAGGACCCGTGAGAGAAGAGAAAAACGGGAGAAGTGAGTCTCGTGTGTCTCATGGTAAACGAAGTGAGAGACACAAGAAAAGCATGAGACGTGAACGGAAGACGTGAACCGAGAGACTGAAGTAAGACAGTTGAAGTTCTGCCCTGACTGAGAGAGGACGCGTGAATGAACGCCTGAGAAGAATAAATGATTTGTGAAGTGAACGTTATATTTCAATAGGAGGACTGAATGTTTTTCCATACGTCGTAATGTCAGATATTAGAGTCCATGAAGTATAGATGGATGGTTCGAGAGGCGCGGATAAATTCCTGAGTGTGTGGGAAGTCCGACCAGGTCGCTAGATTCAGCCAAGCAAGTCGAGCACGAGGAAGCATGAATGTATGTTTGCGATAACTGGCGATTCAACGAATAAAAGCAAAAAACTCAATATTCGTTCATGCTGTGTCGTTTCAACTCACTGTTCGTCTGAAAGCAATGTAAACAATACATGCCCCTAGATGAGCACATTACAGCCACCAAGCCCCAAATCTTTGCCACCAAGTCCTAATTCATTACCACCAAGTCTCCGGTTAGATCACTTGATGTGTCAGGTCACTTGATGTGTCAGGTCACTTATGTGTCAGGTCACTTGCATTTTGTTTACGAGACCGTGTGATGAAACCAGTTAGTCTGCTGTAACAGCGAAACAACAGCCAACACTTGGTAGCTTCTGATTGTGTGTGGAAATAGCAACATTCACTTTTTTTGTTTTTGTTTTGGTTTAGTAATTCTGTCATCAAGCGACGGCTACAATATGTTTGCAGGTGCCGTCAAACATGTGAGGTTTGTTGTTTGCCATCTGAAACAACCGTGCGTCTAAACTTGCTTGGCGTCCACTTGTTGTGCCCTATTTCTTCTCAACAAGGTCATTGCCAAAGTCAAAAACAGATGCCATACTCCACATTTATTTAAGTTTACTAGAATATTTTTTGTTGCTGGCATATTTCCACCTTTCCAGACGACAGTATTAAACTGTGCTGTTAGGAGGCATGGACTCACAGCCCATCGCGATGGTGAGTGTGACTAGCAAGAGCCGCCACGAATGCGAAAGCTTGATAATAAAAAATGGGCTATTCTCCGAATAACGGTCCTAAATTATCGAGGCGGAAAATATACCCTAACAGGGCCTCAGTCACGTGTCAATTTCGCCTTTCCAGGGACTATAACGCCACCGCCGAATTGCAAACTTCAGCAACCGCCGAGTGTATCCGAGACGCCACTCACGCGGCGTGGATTGGGGCTAAACTAGATGGCTAGGACTCACGAGCAAATAAAATGAAGGAAGCTGCAGGAGATGCGGTAGCTGCTGCTCGTAAGTGTCGGAAGTCGCCTGAAGTGCGCAATTTAAGACGACGGAAGAGCGAAATGGACACGTGACTGTGGCCTTGTTAGGGTATTTTTTTCCGCCTCGATAATTTAGGACCGTTATTATGCCTAAAAAATGATTCTGTCCTGATTCAAATGAAGGCGTTTCAAAATGTGATATCGATCAGCAAACCTCAACAGTAGCGGGCCACAAAAATCGAGGCGTACCAAATGGTCGCATTTGCAAGTTGTTAGTCAAGAAACTAGTCGTTAGTCGAGAAACAAGTCGTTAGTCAAGAAACTAGTCGTTAGTCAAGAAACAAGTCGTTAGTCGAGAAACAAGTCGTTAGTCGAGAAACAAGTCGTTAGTCGAGAAACAAGTCGTTAGTTATGTGACTTAAGTCGGGCTAGAGTCCCAGTGGCTGGATTTGAGTCCCATCTTTGACAGTCTACGAGTAGTTGCCAAACACGTTGATCGCTTGCTGTGGGCACAGATTCAATCTCCTTGCGATGTCTCAGCAGTTGTCAACAAATAGTAATCTGCATATCAGCTGACCACGTTAATACATTTTTAAAGTTTTAAATACAATCGATATTGTTATTTCTATTACTACTAAGTTTTTCATTAGGAGATGTACACAAAACTAAGTTTATTCAAGCTAATGTAACCACACATACTCACAAACAAACATACATACACACACATACGCAATTTAATGTTATCCGCCATTGAGTACGGCGTAGCAGGCAAGACACTTGAGTGGAGAATTTCAGGTGTGAGAGACAAAGCAAGACACCTGAGTGGAGAATTTCAGGTGTGACTGACAAAACAAGACACCTGAGTGGAGAATTTCAGGTGTAAGTGACAAAACAAGACACCTGAGTGGAGAATTTCAGGTGTGAGAGACAAAACAAGACACCTGAGTTGAGAATTTCAGGTGTAAGTGACAAAACAAGACACCTGAGTGGAGAATTTCAGGTGTGAGAGACAAAACAAGACACCTGAGTCGAGAATTTCAGGTGTGAGAGACAAAACAAGACACCTGAGTGGAGAATTTCAGGTGTGACTGACAAAACAAGACACTTGAGTGGGGAATTTCAGGTGTGAGAGACAAACAAGACACCTGAGTGGAGAATTTCAGGTGTGAGTGACAAAACAAGACACCTGAGTGGAGAATGTCAGGTGTGAGTGACAAAACAAGACACCTGAGTGGAGAATTTCAGGTGTGAGTGACAAAACAAGACACCTGAGTGGAGAATTTCAGGTGTGAGTGACAAAACAAGACACCTGAGTGGAGAATTTCAGGTGTGAGTGACAAAACAAGACACCTGAGTGGAGAATTTCAGGTGTGAGTGACAAAACAAGACACCTGAGTGGAGAATTTCAGGTGTGAGTGACAAAACAAGACACCTGAGTGGAGAATTTCAGGTGTGAGTGACAAAACAAGACACCTGAATGAAGAATTTCAGGTGTGAGTGACAAAACAAGACACCTGAGTTGAGAATTTCAGGTGTAAGTGACAAAACAAGACACCTGAGTGGAGAATTTCAGGTGTGAGAGACAAAACAAGACACCTGAGTCGAGAATTTCAGGTGTGAGAGACAAAACAAGACACCTGAGTGGAGAATTTCAGGTGTGACTGACAAAACAAGAC